TACATTTTCTTTTATATTTTTCTCTTCATCATTGATAGCAGAACAGACAAAAATAACCTTCGAGTTGCCTCGACTAGTAATATTGTCTTGTTTGCTACGGTACTAATGACAAAAGAAAGCAAGAGAAAAGCATACGTTTTGAAATTTTTCTACATGAATTTGGTATGATATATGTATTTTAACTGTGGCGCGTATATGTCCAACACCTGTGACGAATCATCATGTACGAGTATACATATAGAATCATAAAGAATAGTTCAAACTCAACTCGTTTAATAATAATCATTTGGAGATAGTCTTGAAAATTCAGCGTAGTGAAAGATCTCATTTAATGTTTAAAAAGAATCATGATCCTTTGACAAAAGATAAACAGATATTATATTACGAAAAGAAACATAGTCGATAATCTAAACGATTCGTTGGCAAGGAGCGAAAGTACAATGACCAAATTGATAATTGATCTGCAACCATGGGCTATGCCAAATCGTTTGTTCAAAAAGAGAGACGTTTATTTCGTCATACTTTAACGTTCAAGGTCTAACAATCGTTAAATTGATCAGTCCATCCACGATGCCAACAAAAAAGATGGCACGAGTCTTTCGATTTGATGTTGTTACCAGGTATATATCACTGAGAACACTTTGCAATGAAAAATAGATAGGAAAAAGTTTATTTTGGAGCAGGCTGAGCTGGTGACGTCGTAATATTTTGAAAGCAATGGGATCACTAATGAACAAATGCCAGAGTGTGATGCCTGTTACAGAGGCATACGAAGGAAGATAATACGAAGTAGAAGAGCTGAGAAGCACTACTGCTATTTTCTAAATCTACCTTGTTATTTTAAATCATTGGTATCAGATTTTGTAAAAACTACAATTTAGATTGTTGGTTTTTGTGTACTCAAAAAGTGAGTACACTCTAGAATCGGTCAGTGTGTCCGTCCGTCCGGCCGTCCGTCCGGCCGTTAACACGATAACTTTTGAAAGGAGAGTCCGATCGCGATGAAATTTTCTACACAGTTTAGTCTTAACAATATCTCGGCCGAGTTCGAAGATGAGAATGATTGGCCGAACCATTGCTGAGTTATAGCAAAAATAGTCATTTTTCCCTATGAGAAGATAGACCCTTCTCTACATTCATAAAAAACTTTTCCTATCATAGTCATATAAAACTCCAACTATTATATACCATTCGATAGAGAATTTCACGAGCTAAAAAATGGTATATAAAACATAAAGAAACAAGAAAGCTAACTCGCCTATTGCAAAGATAATTAATCGGAATTCGGTTCTGTTTTTGTCCACGCTCTATGTGATCCACAATTAGAGCTCTATCTTCCCATCACAGATATGATAGTTCGAGGTTTTCTAGAATGGAGAACTCGAATCTATGTTCCATTCGCCTCGAAATCCCATTGGTTGAGCAGTGACCAATAGAAATCAAGTTATAAGAAAAACGAGTTTCTTAGGGTAAATCAAGGTGAAGAGTTCAAATCTGAGCTGTATTTGCCTCCAAATCGTATTGGCTGAGCAATAGCCAATAGAAATTAAGTGTTTACAGAAAGGGTTTGCCAGGACAATTTTGATGTCCACGCATTCTAGGGTAACTCATCTGTCTCATTCACGTTTTGAAGTACACATAACTCTCGGATTTAAATCCGAGGTTCCCACATTTATTTTTTCTTTCATTCGAATCAGACGACCCTGAACTCGAGCAAATGATATTTGTAATACTTTCATTCATTTTGCTCACGAAAAGTTGTAATTGAGAAAAACACAAAGCAAGTTTCATATGTAAAAATAAACTCAATTTTCTGTAATCAAAAGCATCATTTGGGCTTGTCGATTCGCTACCATGTGATACCAACAAAGAGACAAATCCACCATAAAATGATAGGAGACTCTATTCAAAATTTAAAAGGCTGCCTTTATTACGATATTAAAGATTATCGTAGGAAAACTTTGGGGATTTAAATTAGACAACTTCTGAGAAAAATATAGCTGCGAACTTATTTTAGCTTCTGCTTTTGAAAGTCGATATAAAACATCTAAATGATCAAATGATAAAACTTAAAGCAAAAAATGCTAGCATCAAGTCAAATCGTGAAAAATAAAAGTAGAACGATGTGAATGTACAGAAGACTTACACTTGCACTCACACTTGATGTTGAATGACAAGTAGTGAGTCTTTCAAGTACTTGTTTATGAGTCAAAACAATTGGGCAATCAGAACTTACATAGAAATCGTACGGTATATTTTTTTTTAATAATCTTTTTTATTCTAAAAGAGAACCAAATGTTGTAGATACTTGAGTATACGTGTAGTATATTTTTGAATAAGGTAATTTGTATAAATAGAATTTTTCTTTATTTTATTTAAAAATAAAATGTTGAACATTTTAAAATAGATAAATTAGAAAACAACACGTGCATGTATATTTAAAGTAGCATTTGAAGGTGGTGCAACATGAATTGATCGTTCTGTTCGTTTACAAAATAGTTTTTTGTATAAATCTGGATATTGATATAGACAAACAAAAGGAAATAATAATATAAGAAAATAACATGAAAAATAAAAATATTGTTGTGCTTCAAATCCAACATCACTAGGTAGACCACATAAATGAGCTAGAGAAAGAATATTGAGTGGCATATTAAAAATTAAATTTAATGATGTTATTGATAATAATTGTATTGTCATTCGACGTTGTTTACGCCATTGCATTGGTTGATTAAGACGACGTTTTAATAATGTAACACGAATTAAAAGTAACATACTAAAAAAACCAACAACTACTGTAGGTGCAATATTATTTGCACCAAATTCCCACATGCCAAGTACACCATATGATTGATAACATGGATATGCATTACATATTGGTAATGTATAATCATAAATATTTTCACAAGGTGGTAAAAAAATAACAACAATATAGAATATACCAGTATAAAGAATAATCATAATTAAAGGAAAATAATGTATAAGAAGACGTTTTCGATTAGTCGACAACAATCGATCATGATATACTAATAAATAACGTTCAATAGCAGCCCAAGCCATTAGAAGTGTACCTCCATTATAAAAACCAAATGCAGCAAGCCACCATATTAGACATGTTGCAGGTGTCGATGGAAAGACTATACCTGTATGAGTAATAAATGTAAGATATAATGGAATATCAATGAGTTGACCAGCTAATCCAAATGCAAGTAGAATAATAATAATATGATTATTTATTTCACGTCGTAATGTTCGATTTAGAATAAGATGAAAGAGTAGAAAAAATGTACATGCAACAGATGGAATATCAAGTAGAATAAGAATCCAAAAACGAACGAACCGAGGTAGAGATATTTCTGAACTTTCAAAAGAATCTCCATCAGTTTCAGTGATATTTTCGATACTTTCGCTAGTATCCGACGATTTTTGAGAAAATATTATCATATTCAACATTTAGAATAAATCAAAATTAAAATATTCTACAATGAACGTATATATAAATTAGATAAAAAGATAATCTAAAACATTTATGCATACAATTCTTTTCTTTTTGTTTTTGCATCATTCTCTTCTTTCTTCATTATTTCAAACATCTTTAATCTTGCGATAGGAAATAATATTCCATTACCTTATCGGCAAATTATATAGTTACGAACAATGAAAATACTTAGGGCAATTGAAAAGTAGTGACAGTGACATTTTAATATTGTATAATAAGCTTGAGGAAAGTTTTTCTTTATATGCAAGAATAGTAAACACAAGGTTCTATTTTTTTTTATGATATTTAATTATTCTTTAAGCAATGTCATGAAAATAAAATCTCGACAACGTGCTGTTTGCTATGATATGTGACAATTCCATTAATGTTCATTTCAAAAGCATGCATGTGAATATTTTTGGTTTTGATAGAGAAATGCAGATTTCAAAGCTGGAAAGAGGAGATGAAGATGCATCGAATCGTATATTATAGTCTTTTCTAATATAACTTCTCGAGATTTTTAATCAACTTTCTAAGTGCCGAAAAAATGGATTTTTTTATTAGACAAGGGGAAGCAAAAAAAAAACTGATTCATTTTTCACAGAAATCATCAGAATATTGACTTCAAGTTTTGACTAGAATACCTATAACTGTTGAACGATTATTTTTGTAACTCTTCAATTGGCGTTTTGAATGGATACTTAATAATTGAAAATTCTCTGTAAGCAATCCACGGAGTAGGACTGTTTATTTCAAAAGGAATCCACATCTTTTTAAGATTTCTATTAGAACACGATGTATCATTGAAATCAGAAGGATATATTTGAGAAGATTTTCTTGTTAGGGTCCTACTTGTAACAAGGTTCACTAAACATATTCGAAGAAAAGAATAAATTTTTTTTACACATTAAAGTTTGACACGAGCCACTTTTTCATAGTAGGTTCTCATAGTTACTTGTCTGAGTACCATGATAACACTGTTCGCTTTGATCATGTAAAAAGCATCTTCGGTCTATGTTTATCTCATTTCTCATGTGGTGTATATCTATATGTTTACTTTTTCCTATTTCACATATCAGGTTCAGACGATCTATTGCTTCTATAAGCATTATGGGATGTATCTATCAGTTGTTAACACCAGAACAGTCATTTCTAGTGGCACAAATAAAAATGCGCAAGAAATTACCTAAAGAATTGCCCTAGACCAAATAATATATATTGTGACAAAATTTACATACATCTGAATCATATCAAAGGATTTATCTGGAATACACCAGAAAAAAAAGTTGCTCGGAATTAAAACTTGTTTATCATATTAAAGTTACAGATATATATTAATACTTTTTTAAACAAGAATTCTTTCGCATAGTCTGCTTTAAATAGATCATAGACACTTAATTGAATTGTAACCATGAAGGATTAACAGAGATGTACAACAAATCGATTAACTTCAAATATTGCTCAAAATGAAGTTAATATATTATCAGCAATTAAATGACGAGAATAAAGCAGTTCTCAATAGATTTTAAAAGACACGATAATTTTCTATTTCAAAAATGAATAACATTGGTTTTATATTTAACAATACAACAATCATCACTTCCTTGCCATAGTTGACTAAGCTACAGGAAGCTTAAGAGTTTTCATATTCATTTGATCCTCATTAACATTATTATTATTATTAATATAACGATAAATTCTATCAAACAAATGTGCTAATTTAAACGATTCATTCTCATAATAAATACAATTTTTATATACGCAAAACCTATAGAGAATGACTAAAAAGACATCCTTAAGACAATTTCATAGCTATTTTATTTCATGCATTACTACTTATTTTCTTTTATTTGTTTCTAACTCTCTAACTACGTAATTCACAACATTACATAAACCCTACAAGCGTTACTTAATATATTTGGACAGCTTTCTAGATTTGTATACATAGCTATTGATTTCATTTGTGTATTCTTCACTATCTACAAGAATGAATTTTTGTTTAATGCACGAATTCATCTAGCTAGTTATATAAAATCTGACACTATTTATAGACTATGATGGCTACTACTATCGGAATTTTAAAAGAAGGCACCTGGAAAAAAACCTTATAACTTTCGAACGAAAAATCATAGCGACCTGGGGTTTTCAGCAATCGACAGAAGATTATAGGGGGCACATTTTTATATAAAAATCAAGGTTTAAATAATCAGTGATCATGCAATCACTGAAAGAATAGGCTAATTATTTAGTGAAATCTCAACAGAACAAGCTGAAAATTTCAGCATGTATAGCCCTACTGTAACCCAATCTTCGCTGAAAATATCATCGATAAATCTTGTAATGACGAGGAATGGTGAGCCAGTCATCATCTGGTCTTACATAAGACTCTCATTCACTCAAAATATTAGGAAATGGCCTCAACTTTTGGCTGAATAAATATCATAATCTAGACTTCATATCTATGCAATAGCATCGCACTTTGATCGTAAAAATGTACGGAAATAGCCAAAATTCGACGAAGAAATGATTTTCATACAGTAAGTATTTTAAAACAAATCTTTCCAACTTTCTTAAGAGAAATACAGAATTTAGTAATATTTTCACCGTCTCTTCTCGTTCATTTAATCAAACTATGATATAATTGCATAGATATGAAGCCTAGATTATGATATTTATTCAGCCAAAAGTTGAGGCCATTTCCTAATATTTTGATTGAATGAGTGCCTTATGTAAGACCAAATGATGATTGGCTCACCATTCCTCGTCATTACAAGATTTATCGATGATATTTTCAGCAAAGATTGAATTACAGCAGGGCTATATATGCTGAAAGTTTCAGCTTGTTCTACTGAGATTTCACTAAATAATTAGCCTACTCTTTCAGTGATTCCACAACCATCGATTATTTAAACCTTGCTTTTTATATAAAAATGTGCCTCCTATAATCTTCTATCGATTGCTGAAAACCCCAGGTCGCTATGACCTTTCGTTCGAAAGTTATAAGCTTTTTTCCAGGTCCTTTCTTTTAAAATTCTGATAGTAGCTGTATCTTTTCAAAAAATTGCGAAACTACGAAGTTAAACATCACAAGAATTGAGAAAATAGCTTTCTTCCAGGTCAAGAACAGAAAACAGATATGTCAATGACAAGAAATAACGCATAACTGGAATCTTAAAATAAAATAATTGGAATGATCAAGGAGTGCAAGCATTCAACACAAGAGAACTGAGCTTAATAAATTAAGTTTCACTCTCTGAATCACAAAGACAACATTATCTTTAAATTAATTTAAATAATTAGAGGATATAAATCTTGTTTTCTCGTGTCCAATTTAATATCAGTTCACAAAGCTAAAACAAATCTATGAGAAAATCTTCTTTTCCTGGATTGTATGCCTTTGTCTGTATGCTCATTGTATAGAAGAAACTTCCGTCATTATGAATGTGTTTCACTGAAATTATCAAGTTGAATACTTCTATATGATACTCGTGAAATCGAAGTGTCGTTCTTTGTGAGAAAGAAACCATAACTGTCAACATACATACTATATTTCAAAGAAAAAAAATATAAAAATCATTGTCTTTTCTCTCTATAAAATAGTGACGATCATATTTTGAGATCATCTCATTTTAAAGAAAAAAAAGTGTCGTCTGTTCAAATTTCTTGTCAAACAATCGTCACTGTCTCGATTTAATTAATAAAATATATTTTTTAAATACAAATGTAAATCAATTTTAATGATAAAAAAAAATGTTCAGAATCAACTTTCATCTTTGTCTATGTAACTTTCAGACAATCGAAGTCTGTTTTGCTTACAAAAATCAAAGTAGCGGTTTGAAAGACAAAAGTATTGAAACCCATTGTTCTCATTACTGTAGATGAACAAAAAATGTATGCTTTAATTTGAATCATTCAATTATATGAGAAAGGACTTTACTAGGAACAATTGCATCGTTTTGACAGCTTCGAGAAAGATATAAAATAGTTCACTTTATCTTTTATATATTGCTCGTAATTACATGGTTGAATTTACAATAAAAAAAAAAACAATGTCTCTTATCGTTACTATAAGAATTCATAAAGTAAGAATCAAACCTGTTCAGTATGATATTCGTATAGTTCATTATGAGCTATTTTCAGAAAAAATATATGATAAATTTAATTTCATTACATCCAAAGTTAACAAATCAATATGAGTGCATTACATGTTTAGAACAATATATGTTTGTCGTCATTGAACAATCTTCCTTTTTATATTGAACATACAAACTTTGTTGAAATTACGATCGACATGCTAAACTATTAAAACGAGCCATACTTGAAATATTCAAGGCAATGGGAGGTGAAAAGTTAAAGTGAAACAAATTCTCGAGGGATTTTTATCGATGTAAATCACAGCTTGAATAGTATGTCAATACAAATTATATGTCTATTTCATATAATAATAGGAGATAATTATATTTATAAATAATGAACTTCAATTCTGTTTGTGTACTATAGTGAAAAATATTACGCGATCTTATACATACTAATATCAGTCGAATAATATTGCAGCGATTCTAACTCTAATTGTGAGGGATATGAAAACGAATGTTAAAAGAAAAGGACTTACAAAGACTGATTAATGATTTTGCCATTTCTCTTTGTGTTTATTTTTCGATATTTCGACTAGTTGATATATATTTTTCTGTTCATATTCTAATATTGAATATTTCAAAATGAATTTAACTATTTTCAATTTATAATTAAAAAAAAACAACAAAATTACATAAAATCTTCTTTCTAGAAAATGACAAAAATAAAACTGTATAGCATGCTAAGAGAAATGATCCTTCGCATGTAAAAATACTTACCTTATGTCGGTTAAATGATCGCTGATAAACTGTTGAAAAGATCTTATAATAAAACCAGAAGAAGAAAATGATTACTATCAATTTCAAAATATAATATGTTCCACTGTTTTTAAATAATTTTT